CTACAAGAAAAACTAAAGCTCTTTCACCTTTCTCTATCTATATTTGTTAAGCATTAGTTTTTGAGAAATATGCCACATAAAACTCCCACTGCATTAGAGTGCTGATGATAATTTAATAGTTTTAATTTAAACGTTATCAGGAAAACATTTTATAAAATTTTATAAATTCTAGTGGGAATGTCATTTTATATCTATTAATTACACTAGAAGTTTAATAGTAGAATTTTTTACATAAATATAAATTCAAATAGTAAAGATATTTAGCTTTTACCCAAAAAATAATAAACAAAGGTGAAAAATGAAAAAAGTGTCTCATTGTTGTCTTTACCATTGAGTAATACCCAGTTAATAAAGTAGTTAGCTAAGTTTTATACATTCAAAAATTGGGCAGACATGTAAGTAGAGTTATACTGTTTATTTATTTGTTTATTTGCATACTTTTTATAAGTCATGAATACTAAGCTATGTGCTATCTTTTGCCTCTGTATTGGAAAATCCAAGTACCATATTTAAAAAGTCATAATGAGCATTCAAATTCATCAAAATTATATAGAAAACTACATAATAATTTTATGTACTTTGGCTGAAAATAAATTTTAGTTTTCAATCACATATAATAGTTACATGTGTCTAAAGTAAAAATGTTGCCAGTTTTTTTTTATTAGTTTTGTTACTGTATTCATGAATGCTGCACTGCACTGAAGATGTATCAGTCTTATCATTTTAACATTTTTTATTTTTTTATTTTTTTTAACTTTTATTTTTTTTAAATTTATTTATTTATTTATTTGAGAGAGAGAGAGAGAGAGAGAGAGAGAGAGAGAGAGAGAGAGTGTGTGGCCAGCTCAGCCCACCAGGGGGCAGGGCTGGCTGGCATGTGGTGCTGGGGGATTGAACCGCGGTCCCTGATGCTTTTGCTAAGCTTGTTCTAAGTAGGTGCTTTAGACCACTGAGCCATCTCTCCAGCCCCGTTTTAACATTTTTTAAATGCATAATGACAACCAATAATAAATAAATGCTATCTAATTATAATTTATTAGTGGTATTTTTCTTTTTTGTTAGTGGTATTTGATATCTATCTGAAAATTTCAGAAATTCAATACTGTTGCTTTAGTAATATAGTTATTTAAAGCTTCAATTCTCTTAAAATTTCAACTAGAAAATTAAAAACTTGTATGAAAATAATATATACTTTGAAAGTAAATTTCAGTCACAATGTATAACACTGTATGACAATGTTTGTTCTTTATTTAAGAGATTTAAACTAACATTAAATCCAAGTCACATTTTTATGAATAGCAACTAAGTTTTTACAAGATTTGAAAATGTCACTAAATCTCCTATAATAAAATCAGTTTAGATCTTAGTGAGAATAAAAGTGTTTTTTGCCATTTGAATGATGTTTTAAAATCCTAACTTAATTGTGCTACAGATTCTATGGAGAAGACATGACTACATGCTTAATGATGAGATTTGTCTCAAATTCAGTGAGTGGATAACATCTTTAGCAAAACAAATTTAAACAAGTATTTTTAAACTAATTATGTGCTGATGCATTAACACTAACTAGCAACCACAAGGAGAAAGAAGTAGTAATGTAACATTGTCTGACAGAAATCTATGAAGCACTATGTTTCCAGAAGAGTTAACTGTCTCAGTGTAAAAGAAAATGCTTAAGAAATCTGGACAAGCTAAGTAAAATTACAATTTTCAGGATAATTCATGAAACTTATATTTTACTTAAGATAATTTCTTGGAGAGCATTGTGAGATGACAGAAATCATCTCAGATTTTATGTATCTCTTTTAATATTGCCTCAATATAAACCCAGTATACCTTTGTAAACATGATTAAGTTTCAATACATTGAATCAACTTCCAATGGAAAATATTTTCCTTTAGCTTTTTAATGTGTAGCTAGCTTACTATGTGTCAGATGTCCTGCTCTCAAAATTGTTCAAACCTGTCCTTGAAGCATCACCCCAAATTATCAACCCAGTTAAACTAGAGCATATTATACATCACTAATATGAAATAAAGCATCAGTAATTCCTGAGGCATTTTACAGCTTTATATGAACTTCATCCCATTCTGTATCTCCGTTCCACCCTTCAGTTTATTCTATTTGTGAATAAATTAGTTTTCTTTAACTTTTAAACAACTTAAATAAATGTTACTGAATATGCTGACCAAAGCAGTCTCTTTTAAAATAGGTGTTACTTTAAAATCAATAAGCAATTCAAATTATATATTTGATTCTCTCTAATTTTCTTTAAGTATTGAGCATAGAAAATATATTTAGAAAAAAGTGGTGTTATTTTTTCTATGCAATTAAACATTAATAGCTTGATATTCTAACAAGTATTTTTCTTTGACTAGAAATAACAATTTATATTCAGTGCAATCATATTCCTGTTCATTTTGTTAAAATAACTGATGTCTTGCATTAACTTTCTAATCACTCCCTAATAGTCTCCGTGCTTAATTAGCCCTGAAAATCCTCAATGCACGCTTATACCAATTCTAACATCTAGTTAATTTTCAATAGTTCTGTTAGTCATTGTTAGATAGCACCATACATTTCTCCTGAAAGCTGCGCCTGCGCTTTCACCATCCACGTCCTGTGCGATCCTAAGCTGTGATGGTGCTTCTGTGAAATTGTCCCAGGTTTTTGCTTTTTTTGATCTTTCTTATCAGACCTCATTAATGAAATAAAATCAGAGGCAATAATAGGCAAATTGTGGAAACTCCAGGCAAAAGTTCTTTGGACAGATTGTTAAAAAGAAAAGAAGTAAAACATTTGCGGTATAAATTTGCTGTAGAAATATAAATACTAGTTACCAAAATGTAAACTAAAATATTTGAAAAATAACAGGAAAACAGCCATGCAAAAAATGTTTTGAAAAGCAAAGCAGTGCATATTTATCATAATGTACAATCTAGGATCTTATTAATTTAAAAATGTATTCAATTATTTTTAATAGTCACCTTTTCAGGTTCATTATAATTTTGTGTTCACATTTATCTCATGTTACTCTTTAAATGTTTCATAATATGATTTATTTTATGATTGCGCCTCTCCTCAGGTGTTCTCTATATGTTTTCCAAACTGTCAGTATGTTCTTTATAGAGAATAAGGGACCAATGCCCCAGCTGTGTTTTAATCCTGCTTTATGATTTAAGCTCATACTTCTGGTTGTATATTCAACTGCTGAGTTTTTTATCACTTTGATAAAATTTACCCTTTGTCCCCAGTTCTTCTATGACAGCAATGCAGTCACTGCTTACATTTGAATCCTTAAGGTCTCTTTATGGCACCGTGCATGCAGACATTTTAAGTAATATATGCGGCAAGATTCAAGGGATTATTGCACCTGTCTGTCTGTCTATTGGATATTTTTATGTAGAACACATTATTGCAAATCTATGCAATGGAAAAAGGAATCTATTTAAAGCTCCAACTTAAAATGCTTGCTTCTTTACTACTGCACATGCTAAAGCTGACTTAAGCACACTTTTGCCCATTATTTTAGTCTCCATAGATCTTGTTGAATCTTAAATCTTCAAGCATAGTATTTGCTTTTCCTCTCAATTTTGAATCATCTCCTTCTCAGCACTCTATGCAGATTGCTAATAAATATGTTAAATAGCTAAGAGGCTGAAACAAATCCTAGAGGACCTTTCTAGGTGCTATTTTTTTAAAGCCCAATATGTTCTATTAATAACACCTATGCATTTTAATATTGTTCTCCTTTTGATAGCCATCATATAATGTCATGCTGATATGAATTTTAATAAAATATGTTTGATAAACTTCACAAATCTCCTATTCTAAAGTTATCATTAAGTAGAAATACAAAGCGTTGCATTCTTCATATCCATCTCAAATATAACCTATGTATATAATTTTGCCTGAATCCATTTTAAGAAAGTATACTGAGGAGAAAAAAATAGTTTGCATATATAGAATCATCCAGGAGCAAACGTCTGGACTACACACAGCCAATTGCAAATTTCTTAGAACATTCTTTGAGGTACCCAGAAATGTACAACATGGGCTCTCAGCATTTTTATTGATTACCTTGAGATTTACTCTTTAGTATTCTTGAAGTATCAGATTTATGTAAAAAAATGATTTCTTAAAACCCATAGATTTAATATAAGCAATGTCAGAAAAGACAAGATAGTCCCCTTGAAAGAGGACTCATGTGTTGCAAAAAAAAAAAAAAAAAATGCTTGTAGACACAGTGAACTTAATTTTCAGAAATAATTCACTACATTTAAAGATCTGGAATTCAAGTCATCCATAGATAAAATCAAGCTGTCTAGCAAAATTTTATCTAGGCCTTTAAATGATAGGCCTCTCCTCTTTCTTATAATATTGTTGATAATTATACTTTGCCACCTGGTAATCCCTTTAAAACAATTTTGATGTGAGGTCAGATTATGGGTAATTATGTTCAGGGTAAGAATACAGATGAATAATCTTCAAGAACAGAGAATCAGGTCTCTTATATTAAATGATAAATAATGTCTTATTTGTATTTGTAAGCATATTTGTAGTACATTGTATTGTTTGCAACACTACCTATTCTTCAAAACAAAGTATGTAGTCATAACCATGATGAAATTTAAATCTATAATTTCTTTTTGTACAGATATTTTACTATTTGCCTTTTTCTTTTTCTGTATTTCAGGGCAGGGTCTACTGTGTCTACAGGGTCTCACTATATAGATCAGTATCATAGTGATTCTCTTGTATTCAGGTTCCCAAGTGCTAGGATTATAGGCACAAGCCAACAGGCCCAGTCTCAACTGACCTCTCAGTAGGCCACGCAGGTTGGGCCAACAAGGCATGCAGGGGATCAAACCCTGGCCCCTATATTCTACTTACGCAGGAGTGTTAGGTCACTGAGCTATCAGGACAGCCCCTATTTGCCATTTTCTATTACTCAAATAGAGTGGTACAACTATCTCAGTCATTATTCAAAAGCAAAATAAGTGCTTAACTCTGCATCACATGTGTTGAAATTATAACAATACTGAGAGGATTAGCACATCTCCTGCTCAAGAGTAACACACAAAAAATTCATAAAGCATTTCAGTTTGATTTTTTAAAGAAAAATTCAACAGTTTTATGATTCTTACTTTCTACATGATATATAATTATACAATCTATAAATAATTTAAATAAATGAGGGCATTGAAGATATTTTCCAAGATATTTTTTTAAAAAAAGAAGAGATAATAGATAGCACACATGTACAAAACTGGTAAGTCAAGTTACACAATAAAAGCAAATTGAGTTTATATATAGAAAGCAGAATCCTAGTTACAATAGTTTCTTGGAGAAGAAGACCAAGTGTTGGTTGCAATTTCAAATAAAACTCAAATATTAATCTCAAATAGAAAAAGGAAAATGTCTATAAGATGTAGGAGGAGTATTGATGATCAATATTAATTTTCATGATTCAATTTGTCTTGCTGTAAGAGATACACTTCTTATTATAAGACAGAAACTATATTAAGTGAAAATGAATATCTTTCAAGAACACTGACTGTCTGCCTGGCTCTATACAATGTTCTGTTTGTCCTCTACATGGGAGATACATTTAAGTTATATAGCTTGTTTCTATATTTGATTTTATATTTTAAAACCTATTTAACTTCTGTTAAAAAATGTATTTGGTAAACGGTTGCACTATGTAGCTCAGATTGGTAGTGCTCCTCCTGTTTTCAACCTTCTTAGTGGTATGATTGCTCAGCATGCACTGCTGTGCCTGGTCTCAGTGCTTGGACCAGTGTGCCCAGTATTGGGGCTGGCATGTCATATAGTGTCAGGGATCAAACTCTGGTCGCTGTGCTTGCCTAAGCAGGCGCTTAGTCCACTGAGCTATCTCACTGGTCCAAAATCTATTTGACTTTTAAAATATTTTCATATTTTTAAACTTTCTTTTTGTTTTGCAGAACCAGGGATTGAACTCAGACCCTAGTCCTTGCAAGGCAAGTCCTCATTTCTCAGCTATATCCCTGACCCCTCATTTTTTTTAATCTTACGATGTGTGTGTGTGTGTGTGTGTGTGTGTGTGTGTGTGTGTGTGTGTCTGTGTGTCTGTGTTTCAGGGAACTGTCTACAGGACATTCAGAGTCTCACTACTAGATAGGACTCATAGTGATCTACCTGATTACTGCCTCCCAAGACCCGGGATTATAGGTGCGCACCACCAAGCCCAGTCTCAATTGCTGTCTCATACTCCCCTGGGGCAAGGCCAACATGGCAGGCCCAGAGATTGAATCCCTGGTCCCTGTCTTAAGATGTTTTGACCACAAAATATTTTAATGAAAATTGAGTGCAATACTTGCAGATATTCTTACAGTCATCAGCTGTACATAATTTTATTGTGCTTCTTTCTGACTCTAGAGTATTACATTGACCTCTCCTCAAAAGAATTAGCAATATATTTGGACAGAATGATGTGCAAAATAACAGAGATTAATGGAGAACATGTGACTCTTTTTGTAAAATGTTTATTTCTTTCTACAACTTTAAGTGTTTTGAATCATCCATAATGGCAGATATTTTGTTGTTTTATTCTTATTATTTAATTCTGTTTCACTAACTAAATCTTGACCTATGGAGCCTTTGGTGGTTAAAGTGGAGTTTCAATATGACTAATTTTGGGCTCTGTCCCATGGTGTAATGGAAAACACTTATAGATATGTCTGTATAGAACACTGAGGTGTGGCCATAGGGACTAGGCCTGGTCCCTCATCCCTCTGCCCTGGAGTTCTGTTATGTATCTGCTTTCACATCATGATGAACTAAGTATCTTTGCTCTGCCACACTTTTGCTCCATGTCATCTCTGCTTCGAAGACATCCAATCATGATTTGAAACAATGAACCAATTAAACTCTCCTCCTTGGACCAGTAAGATAGCTCAGTGGTTTAAAATACTTGCTTAGGCAAGCTTAGGCCCAGGCTCAGGGACTGTGGTTCAATCCTTGGTACTACATGCTGTGCCAGCCCTGCCCCCACTGCATTCTGAGTGGGCAAAAAAAAAAAAAAAAGAAATAAAAGAAAAATCTCTCCTTTTTGTTGTGTAGATTGGGTCTTGTGTCTCAGCAGTGAGAAAGGTGACCAATACAAAAAAATTGGTACAAGAAGTGGGGTTATTCCTGTACTGTACATGACCATGTGCTTTATATTCCTTTGCAGCATTTTTACAGAAGGAGGTGGCAGAGCTTTGAATATACTGGATTGAGAAGTGTCACAAAGTCTAGTCCCTCTCACCCTTTCTATTTTCACACATTATCCTTCCCGTGTTTCCTGACCTTGATGAGCTTTGCTCTGCCATGTTTTTCATTACAATGTCTCTGCCTAGGAGCCTGTCAAGCATGGTCTGAAAGTATGATGAATTAAATCTTTCCTTTTTCATATTGTGATGTTCTGTATTGAGTCTTTGGATGACTAATACAGAGCCATAGTTCATGGTTTGTAGTCCAAGCCCTGTCACTCACAAGCTATGAAATGTTGCAAAAATTTCTTAGTATTTCAAATTTTGATTTTTAGTTTTCTCATCAAAGAAAATTATAAATAATATCCTACGCATGATTGTTACAAAGACAAATAGCATTTTCTCTCTCAAGTTCTCTTGTTTCTTTCAAATAAACCACAATTAATAAACTATCAACTTACAGTTGGTAGCACAGACACACCCACACCCACACCCAAACTATTTGTTTTTGTTGTTGTTGTTGTTTTGGTTTTTTTGTGTAACTGGGGATTGAACTCAGGCCCTTGCACTTGCCAGATAAATGCTAAAATAGACCAATACTAGTCCATAGGTCATGCTTAAGTATATGCAAGAAAACAGAAATTATCCCATGCATATTATCTGACCACAGCACAATGAAACTAGAAATAAATGAAAAAAGAAATCAGAAAACCCCTTAAATAAATGGAAATTAAATAATACCCTACCTAGCATTCAATGCTTCCTAGATGAAATTCAACAATATCTACAAATCAATGAAAACTAAACCACAACTTATTGGAATTTATGGGATGCGATGAAAGCAGTTCACAGAGGGAAATTCATAGCTGTGAACTCACATATTAGGAAAAAAGAACGGGAGCAAATAAACACCCTAGTTATTCACCTCCAACATCTAGAAAAGTAAGAGCTAACAAAACCCAGAGCCCAAAGACAGAAATCATGAAGATGAGTGCTATCTCTCCGGCCCCCCAAACTATTTGTTTTTATCTGTTTGAGAAAGGGTTTTGTTATGCAATACAGGCTGGCCTTCAATTTTCTTTGTGGTTCAGACTGGTCTTAAACTCACAAAGATCCTTCTGCTTCAGTTTCTTTAGTGCTGAGATTATAGACATGTACCACCATGCCCAGCTCATATTCATTATTTTTAACTGATCAGGTACTTTACATTGAGGAACAGTTCATAGTACTGAAATTTATTTACCATAAATTGAGATATGTTCATAGAGAATTCTATATGGAAATACTAACTATTCAGGACAATTGATAAGTGGTAGACACCATAGGAGAGGTTCGATGTCTGCATCTATAGAACAGCTAAAATAGGGGTTTGTAAGCTAAAACATTATTAGAAAAAAAAAACTGCTATCTATGGACTCCGTACATATTATAATAATCAATTTTCTTTCAAAAGAATAAAATTCTTATCATAGACAACTCAGAATGTTTATTTTGATACAGTTTAAGGGCATTCAGTCCACTATTGGCTGATTCTGAGACAAAACTTCAGAGCAGAAGCCCATGTCAGAGGAAAAGATCCTAGGTTCTTTGTAGCCAGAAAACAAAGTAAGTGAAAAATAATCAAGGAGAATGGATCCAGGGTCAGTACAGTCCTCAGGGTCACACACCATGCCCTCACACACACTCAAATGCATGCTTCAGTTATTTCCTAGGCTTTTTTAAAAAACCCAATCACATTGGCATTCACAATTATCACCACAATCGCATTCCTTACTAGCCTGACACCAAAGCACAGGCCCTTACATCATGTTTGATCTCCCAATAAAGAAAATAACAAAATTCACAATCCACCTAACGAGATGTTACCATCCTTAGAACAGAAACAACCACAACACCCTAGTTGCTTCCCCAAAATCTCAACAGTCCTTTTACTGTTCAAACATCTAAGTTGAAAGTCTCTTTTGAGACTCAAGGTTAACAGCGAGAACATTTGTAAAATACAAAATTCAAGTTATATCCTTCTAAGATGCAACATTCACATTCTAAGATTAACATTCCCAATCCATAAGATTATGGAAAAGAAGCGGACCAAAGGCAGACCCAAAGTCCAGCAACGTGAAACTTAACACCTACCATAATGCAAAGTTCAGAGAACCAAGGCAACAACACCACAATGGCCCTGTGTGCAGCCATGTGCTTTCTGTGTGTGCTGGCTTTGAATATTGTTGGTAGGTTTCATCCTCTGGCCATCTTCCTGGTATCTCCATAATTGAGGCATCTCTGTTGCTGCTTCTCCTAGTGGCTACAGTGTCACATGTGGCTCATTCAGAGGTTCCAAGTAAGGCTGTGACATTCTCACAAATTGTTTGGCCTTTCTTAAGTCTTCTTCTGACACCAGTGCAGAAACATTTCTGATAAAATCAACCACATTCAGAAATATCTTTTCATTATCTTATAGGCATTAGGTGAGGTAATCAGACTGACAATGAAGTTTAACTATCCAAAGAAGTCTTTATAATTCATTTTTATTCAATTGAGTTGGAAAAATAGAGCATGTAAAAGAATGTGTTACTATGCAAATTATAAATAAATGCCTGTAGGAATTTAGAAGAAAATAGAAAACTTTGTAATACTCAGGAGTTATTTCATGGCAGGTATAAAGTTTTAGTTGCATTTTTCAAAGATGTCACCAAGTTTACATAACCACTATGAGTAAGGTCAGAGTGACCAGTCATGTTCTGAGTGTCACTTCACGTTGCAAAGTACCATTTAGATCATTATTTTAAATGTTGTTTCCCATGTCTTCATAATGGTTGCTTACTATGTAGTTAATTAAGAATCATAATGAGTGTGGGGTCTGAATTGCTAATGTTTC